CGTTCGCCGCTTTCTACCGCGGACTTCCCCCTACGCCCTCCGCTCACGCGGACCTCTTCTGGCCCCCTCCGGTCCGGTCCGTCATCTCCCCATGGCCGAAGGTACGTCACACGCCGCCGACACGGCGATGACCACGTCATCGGGCTCCACACCCGTGCCGGCGGACCAGGGCCATCAGCCCCAGGGGGATCTACACACCCTCCTCACCTCCCTCCGTGTGCCCATCCAGGCACAACTCGCGCCCCTTGCGCCCATCCAGGCGCAACTCGCGGCCCTCGCGCCCTTACAGGCGCAGGTGGCGACCCTTGCCGCCGGCATGCAGCAACTCCAGGACGCTGCGTGTCCGTCATCTCCTGGCTCCCAGTCCGGGTCCCCCGTCCTCCGACAAGGTGGCCACGGCGGAGCTTCCTCCTCCGTTGCCCCTGACCCGACCATCTTGGTGACTGTCCACGCCCCTAGCACGACGGCCGCCACGAGCCAGGCCCCCCTGTAGTCTACGGGCGCACCCGCCCAGATCCCGGTCACTACGGCCACGGTATAACAACCCGCTACCATGGTCTCAGCTTTTCCGGTTGCCCCGCTTCTCCCTTCCCTTCGCACGACCGCAGCGCCACCTGGCTCTCCCCCCTCTGGGATGCCCCGCGCCGCTTGTGCGTCCACCCCTTCCACTCTTCCTCCTGCCACCCCTCGATTGACCTACGTTCGAGGTCTCGTGGACGAGATTGCCCAGCTCCGGGCCGACCTCGCCCTCTTACGACTTCAGCCAACCCCACCCTCATAGGTGGCCGCACCTTCGAGCGCACCCCCTACCTCCTCTACCCTTCCTCCCATGCAGACTCGCTTTCCGCGCCCTGCACCCTATACAACTCCTTCCTACCTTCTTCCTACTCCCGCGGTTGTTGCGACCTCTTCTACCGCAGCACCCTTGCAGCCTGCCGCTGTTGTCACCGCCGCTCCCCCATGCGGCCTGGGCGCACAGTCGGCTGCGCCCCTTTCTCCAGGACCTGCGCCGACTTACTCAGCCGTGGCACAGGCCTCCGCTCCTCGATCCCCTCGCCGCCAAAACGGTGGTGCACCACTCATCCGCTTGTCGGACATTGCCTTGTATTACGGTACAGGCATACGCGTGTCTCGGTGGCTGCAGTCTGCCACCCGCACACTCCAGCTCATGGGTTCCACACCCGAGACGTGGGTGGGTCACCTCTCCACGCGCCTGCGTGGCGGTCCTTTCGAGGCCTGGGAGGATTTCTATGCCTACTCCCTTCGTGAGGGTCGGACTCCGACCTTCGTGGATTTCCAGGCGTTCCTCGAGGATCGCTTCGGAGCCCGATACGACGTGACTGACGCCTTCGACCGTGTCGTCACTACACGCTGGTCCGGCTCTGGTGGCGTTGCCGGCCTGGATCGCCACATCCAGGTCTTTCAGGACGCCCGCCTCGTTTGTGACGTGGCGTTCCTCCCCGAGGCTGCCCTTATCGATCGTTTCTTGGCCAGCCTTCCGCTCGAGTACCGCTCCGAGCTATGGCGATACGAGTTCACATCGGTCCCACGGGCTTACGAGGCCGCCAGGGATCACCAGCGGATGCGAGCCCGTCTTCACCCCGCCTCCTCCTCCCAGCCCCAGCGCACAGGCTACGCCTCCTCCTCCTCTCACGGCACTTCCCAGCGCCTTTCCCCTTTCCGCGGTCGCCCCCGCCGTTCCACGCAGCAGGGCCGCCACTTCTCGCGCCGCTTCAGAGCGCTGGAGTATGGTGAGCAGGACGTTGTTGCCCCACTGTCACCTGAGGGCTACCACAGCGACGGCCTCGATCTCTGCGAGACCGTCCACTATCACTTGGAGGACTCTACCCTCCCTGCAGCTGAGCGCCTTCATCTCGCGCTCTCCGCCTTCTCTCGGGCACGCAGTCGCCCCCCGAGGTCCCTCAGGAGGACCTCCCTCAGGGCTTCGTCCCTCCTCGCGGTGTCCTTATCGCTGAGGAGCGCGTGGCTATTCTGGGCCGACGTGGGTGTTTGCGCTGCCGCTTGGACGGTCATACCTCCTCGCGGTGCCCTTACACTACCGCCCTCGACCGACACTACGCTGATCTTTCTCGTCAGCGTCGTGCTCAGTCCCCCCCCGACGCCTCACGTCCCCGCAGCGCCTTCTAGCCACGGTGCAGTGTACACCTGCGCCCTCCTCAGTAGTGGGCTTCCCGGCATCTCCGTCGCGGTTCGCCCCTCTCACTACCGGAGTTGAGGTATCGCAGGACTCGACAGAGTGTACTCAGCCCTCTCTCGCAGTACCGTCCGCGCCTCCGCAGACCACCGTCTCCCCTCCTTCCCCGCCACGACTACCGACGCATCGAGCCATTCGCTCAGCCCGTTGCAGCGAGCAGCTTGC